TTTTTTGTATTTGCTTAGTTATTATTCTTTCTCGATTTCCTCGTTTTTACACAATTTCAAGTACGCCTATTATTACTGGCACCATCTTAACCCAGATAGCCTACAACATTCTCAGCTGTCGAACCAAGTTCTGGTATGTTTTCAAATATCTATCTATCTATCTACCTATCTATCTATCTATCTATCTATCTATCTATCTATCTATCTATCTATCTATCTATCAGGTTTACATTCTAGTTCGCCGCCACCATCATGTCTACAATTTGGCTGGCCATTTCTTTCCATATTCACACTATCAGATCCTCCTGTAAGAGATGATCGGTCTGAATGACCAAATCCCAGAGTGCTTTATAATTCTTATTTTCCAGTAATACCCCTGGCATTTTTCTACATATCTGCATTCTGGGCCTTCGTTGGATGAAGTTTTAAAATGTAATTAAAAATGTCCGTTAAACATGTATGGCGTGTAACGTTTCTATATATCTGTGTCTTCTCTCCCGATATTTAGACTTCCCGTGTACAAAACCATTTTTAGACTCGGCATTTATTCATTTTATTTTAATTTAGAAAAGAGATTGAAATATTTAAATGCTTTGTAATGAGATGCGAAATGATTTTAACTAGAAGATTTAGACGTTTATATCGAAATCTACAAAATATGTCAGAATAGAAAATATATGTCTGTCTATATTTCTGAGATGAGGTATTTTAACAACATTTACGTTGTTCGGATTATTGTCCTCATCTTTATTGTCATGTTTTTTTTTTCTTTATTTTATGAAAATCTATCTAACACATTTGGAAATAAGGCTGAAGCCGTAAGCTGGATTTTTTAAAAAAAGTTTAACTTGTAGAAAAAAAATTATTTGCATTTTAATTATATCAATAAAAATGTTGCTAACTAGAATTATTTCGCTTGATTTACCGCTTCTCGCCCTCCTCTGTCTATCTCTTCTCTCTCTCTTTCTCTCTCTCTCTCTTCCCTGTCTCTCTCTTCCCTTTCTCTTTTACTCTCCCTTTTCCCCTTCTCTCTCTCTTTACTTCTCTCCCCCTCTCCCTCTCACACACACACTCTCTCAAACAGACAACAAATGAAAACGATTTGATCGATTTCAAACGTCTTTATATTGTTCTTTTAAATTTAAATAAATCCTTAAAGGCAATTCTAATTGTTTATTTTATGTTAATCCATTCGAATTACAAAACATTTTGAGTTTGTCGCCTTTGGTGTACACTACAAATAGAAAACCTAGCATTTGCTTTTGAGACAGTGAAACGCAGTCTTCCTATCTCTTCACCGATGAAGAAGAGACTTGAAGCAACTTGAATACCGTGGATGAAACATGTGAGTAACGGCGAAGTTTAAGAGAAAAAGAATACAAAAAGGATACTAGGTCACATAATGAGAAAAGAGGGAGTGGAAAATTTAATACTCACAAATAGATTGAAGACAAGAAGGACAGAAGAAAACAACGTCTAACTTAACTAGTGAGTTCGAGTAAATGGATAGCAGAACAGGGTTTAGATCCATAACTATAGCATACTTTATAACTATATTTTTTCACACACACACAGGCATATATATATATATGTGTGTGTGTGTGTGTGTGTGTGTGTGTGTGTGTGTGTGTGTGTGTGTGTGTTTTAACAATGAAAAATATTGAGAAATTCAAAAAAATAAAATTTTCAGACACACTGGGTCGTATATTAATATTTTTTTGTTTTATTATTTCAATTACATTCCTCGACTAGTTTCGGTCAGCATTGCCATCATCAGGAGAAAAACTTTCTGCTTATTTGTAGCTGTGAACTACAGGAATAGATGACTGTCTGAAGAAAATGAACTTTTCATTTTTTTCGTTAATTTTCGTCAGTTCTTGCATTGGTCAAACGGCCTTTTTTAAGTTATTTTTTAAGATAGAGGATGGGTAGATTGATGCTTCTTTGAATTCTCTTGGCTATTTTGACAATTTATAATGTATATATATATATATATATATATATATATATATATATATATGATGAAATGGACGAAGTCCGACAATTATTTCAATATATTTATACATTATTTTTATAGAAAGAAATATTTAAGTAAATGCTCTGTTTATAACAAACAGTATTAACAACATTTACCGGTCTGAATATCCGAGAAATTTCATAGAAAATATGTGTCCTCCGACAGAAATCGAACCTGTATCCTACACAAAACCGTAATATAGCCAGACGTGCTATACCATTTAGCTACAGAGGATATATATATATATATATAGGAATGGGTCTCAGGAAGACAGCGTTGATATTTTTAAGGCACACAATGAGGCAAAAGGGCTTGGATAATTTAATCCTCACAGGACAGAATGAAGGCAAGTGGGACAGGGGAAAACAATACATTACCTACCTGGCAAGCTTGAATAGACGGACACGTAAGAATGATAAGGTGAGATAACAAAAAGACAAAGTTTATTAAGAGCTACAAAGGACAGGAAATTGTGGAGAGCCATGATCACCTACATCCTGAAAGCATACGGAACATAGAAGAAAATTCGCATAAAAATCATATTAATCTTCTATTTTTAAATTATTAAAAGAAAATAAATAAATAAAAAACTTTCTAAACTGAGTATGTAAGCAAAAATTAAAATATACTGTCTTTACAGTACATTACAAATTTAAACGCTGTACTAGATTGGCAGATAGGTCTCTTCATTTTAAAGTTGAAATGGCTAGATGTAACTTCTTCTACATTTACCACTTGTGAAACTCTATTCCGGTTTCTTGCTTTCCAGTTAAGTTTGACCTTCAAAATTTTAAAAGCAATGTCAATCGTTATCTTCTGTCAACTCAGTGTCGTTTTATTGTTCTATCTCATTAATAATGTTTTTATTTTTATTTTATTCATATTATTTTGCACTTGCGTCTTAGTGGCTTTATTGTTTTGCTGGGTGGGGGGGAATGATTTTAAAAAGTTATTTAAAAATCACTACGGTAAATCGCTTGCGAAATATGTCGCAGTAGTAAGAGGGAAAAGAATGCGCACTAAAAATATTGAATTTAATTTAATTTAATATAACCTCTATTTCGTAGGATGATTAAAAACTTAATATTAATACTGCCGTGTACATAACTCATTTGATATTCATATATTTCTAATTTGGACAAAATTTAATTAAGCGATTTCAAGCTTAAAGCTAGCTTTGTTATGACAGTGCAAAATTCTTAGCTAACTTCATTATAATTATACAAGTATCGCTATTGATGTATGAAATGCTAATATTTCCAATTGCCTATTGTTAAAGACGTTTTATTTCAACTGCCATCGCTAATGTTACTTTATTTATTTCATTACAGCGACTCATTATGTTATTGTAATATGTAATTGAAATATAGTTATAGCGCGTAGCCGACTAGTTAAAACGTTTACCTTCTGGTTATAAATTCGAAATTCACCATAGTCGATTTGTCAGGGTGGGGCTTGATAACTCTAGCCAGGGAAGGCACCTTTGGAAAGTGCCTGAAAACCATACCCCCACGAAATCTACGAAATGGTCAGATTAGAAAATATATCTGACATATTTTGATAAAAAGACTGTAGCTAGAGTAGAAGACAATTGTTATGAAAATTGTAAAAGAAATATATTGTTTTTTATTTAGATTATATAAAGAAAAATTGTATAGAAATGTTGCTAACTAGAATTGTTTCGCTTGATATATCTCTTCTCTTCAAACCCTGTGAGTGAAATGGCGCTAGCACCTGATCACAGGTGATCGTGGCCGAGGGTTTGAGTGTACTAGCTAAAACGGAAACTACAGTTGAAGTTTCTGGGGCATATAATGAAGAAGGCTTGGAAAATTTGATACTCATGGGGCAAATATGAGACAAGAGGAGACTGAAGAAGACAACGTATAACAAATTTAATGAGCTTGAGTAAATGGATGACGAAACAGGGTTTGGGAGAAATGATGGAAAGATAGTTTATTAAGAGCTAGAAGGAACAGGGACTTGTGGAATGCCAGGAACGACGACGTTATGGAGGGACACGTCGCATGAACAAAAAGAACAAGGGCGATGACTTGACCTTTGAAATAAAATCCAAAAACGGACAACCATCAATTGTCTATTATGATGTTTTAAAAGGCAAAATAAAGAATCCGACTACCAGAAGCGGAAGACTTTCAGAAAACGTGTGTAAAGCATTCAATAGACTTCAAGAACATACAGAAGCCTTTGAGTTGATTAAATCAGAAAAAAAAAACGAAAATATATTTGATACATCCCAATAATCATTGATTATTGTAGATACACATATCTTCGATTCTCCCCGCTGTTTGTCTGTCGCAAAATAACAACATTAGGAATTCCCCGACGATGTTGTTCATATTGCTGAATATTATGGGATGAGTTTTCCATCATAAGAATTGATCTGTCAATATTTAAATATGTAAAAAAAAAAAACATTAAATCAAACAGTTCGGGCTTTGATAAATTTTTATCACCTTTGCAGATTGGAGAAAAAAGCTTAGGATTTGATATATTGTTCGATTTTGTTACAATAAAATGATCTATATTTTAAAGTAGATTTCTAAACATGTTTTTTTTTTTCATCTTTTTTTTAAGTAGCTTTCTTTTTAGCTAAATAATAAGAAGCAAAGATTAGGATCAAGTTCCAGTCTTCTTGTTTTGGTTCCGTTCCTTATTTAATCGATAGCAGGTACAGTTTGAATCGACCAATTCCTTAGAATTAACACAAAAACATGAGATTTCTCCGAGTTTTATCGATTACATTACTGCTTACACGATTAATCTTTACTTTTTTAAGATATTTCATTGCTTTTTACTATGCAAGATGCTTCGAGGGGATAGTTTTATACGATGGTGTCAGGGCTGTGGGCATTTTGCATATAAACTTCTATGTACGAACGTGTATCTCTCACACTCTCTCATTCTCTCTCTCTCTCTCTCTCTCTCGCTCTCTCGGTCTCTATCTTTATATACACGGGATTACGGCCACGTCACGTTGAAACACCGGTTCCGATACGATCACCGAAGTTAAGCAACGTCGAGACTGGTGGGTACCTTGATGGGTGATCGCTTTGGAATACCAGTTGCTCTAAGCTTTGATGCACGGGTAACGTAATTGTTAAATGGAGAGCCGAGTTCTAATTCCCATTGAGTTTGTTATATTCACTTATGAGCAAAATACCCTTGGGAAAGGCATGAATGCAATTCTCTCCCTCCCCAGCTATGGGTTAATTAGTAAGACTTCTCTCACTAAATCATTATTATCTCCAATAAAATAAACTTCTTACAATCTAAATATATTTCTGTCTTCAAATAACCTGCAAAGGCTTGATAAACTTTGAAAAACGAATCCATCAATTCCCCCCAGCTATAGGTTAATTAGTATAAATCATTATTGTCGCCATAATGTTTTTACAATCTAGTTGTATCTAAAAAAATCATTTTTATCCTTAAAAGACGTTCTTAATGTAATATTCACTCGCAATACAAGGATAAATCTTATAATTCAAAATATATTTTGGTTTTAAATAAGCTACGGTTGATAAGCCACACGAAATAAATTTCCAGAATAGTCACATTGTGGAACAGGCTCCCTAGTGGATGCTTCCTAGAACACTTCAGTCTTAACCTCTTCAAGTCTCGTGTCAATCGTTATCTGTCCTACATATCCTCATAACATGTACCTCTTCCCCCACCCTTTTCACCCTTACAGTAATCTCATTCAGTAACCCTATACCTTGAGTAGCTCTTGGACCTTGCAGCGGGGGGAAAATACTAAGAAAATAAATAGAGAGAAGCAAGGCTGAGTTATACAAGCACTCTGAATTGCATCAACAAAGTCTTCGTCAGGGCATGAGGCTGACGTCAGGCATCATTTTATAACTAAAAGCTCATTATCACGTCTCCCGAAAAGCATTTTCAACAACACCAGATTATGCCCATTCAGTTGACTTGAGGCCACCTGATTCGTTATTTTATAACTATTTCTATTTCCGTTTTCTTTCCAAAAGATATCAAGTTTCCGGTCACATCGACATTCAAACTCGAGGGTTAATTTGTTATATCGATAGCCAATCACTTACATTTTAAACTGTGAGGTCATTTTTTTTCACATGAAGCATGTGAATCCACGCTCATTTTAAACTCTAGGCTGTTAAAAGCATAAACGCACCATCGGCCGACTTGTAACATCTTTATAATGATGGAAAGTACTCGAAACATTGCACACAATTTTGGTAACTTTACAAGTTTTCACATGACTAAAAAACGAACGCACCCATGAATTCACACACATATACATATACATACACACACACACACATATATATATATATATATATATATATATATATATATATATATATATTATTTTAGGATATTAACATATGTTAAAAATCGCTACATAATGGCAGTTATATTTCAACATTACAAATGTGTCTCTTCTGGCGATGTTAGACTACTGGTGAGTGAAAGATTATTTAAATTTCAAAGGCTTTTGAAAAAATATAGTTTTAAGGTATACTATATTTATGGAATAAAGTACTCAGTATCAGAGAGCGTATGTAAATATAAATATAAAAGCGAACATTGAAGTCAACACTCAGAGGCGACAGGCTGTGTCATGCTAGACGCAATCAGGCGATTATGTCTAGCATGGAACATATAAATATATATATATTTGAGCAGCAACCTTTCTTTTAAATATCTTTCGTTAAATATGACTGACAAGGAATATTAAATTCATTTTTTTATTTAATTTTTCCAGTGTTTTCAAATTTTTCCATTTGGTGGGAATAAGGGAGTGCAAAAATGATTCATATTAGCCATTGTCCATTGTGTTACGTGTTATTAATTTATCTTCATATTTTGACTGTTTAAGATGTACTTTATTTTTGTGTTGTTTTCAATACGAGCATCAAACAGTCAAAACATGAAAAGAAATTAATAACACGAAGCCTCTTGAAAATGGCTAAAATGGCGGAAAGGGCTTGGAACAATGAGCAATATGGACAATTTTTCCACTCACTCACTCTAAATAAAAATATTTCCTTGTCTGTCATTCATAGTTGACGATATATATATATATATGTGTGTGTGTGTGTCCTCCAACAGGAATCGAACTTGTATCCTACACGGAACTGTCATATAGCCTGACGTGCTATACCATTCAGGCCGGTAAGTGTTTTTAATATTGTTTATTATAAAAAGGGCATTTACTTAAATATATGTATCTCCAAAAGTAAAGTAAAACAGTATATATATGTATATATATATATATATATATATATATATATATATATATATATAATAACGTGTTAATTGAAATCTACATTCTTTGTTTTAATAATATTTTTGTAATTTTCTCTTATTTTTGTACAAGGTAACCGATATTTGGCACCTGTTTGTATGAAGAAAGTATTAATTTGATTTCTTATCCTAGACATTAGTCAATTCAGAATGAATACATTTATAATTTTGACGATGTAGTCCCTGCTGTTTTTCTAAAACGTACACAAGTACGTTGTGATTTAAGATGTGTCATTTGCCAAATTCTTACCAAGTCTTACATTGGAAAAAGGTTCTACATGCATCAAACAAAAGTTGTCGTCATCTGCGGGATTATCAGTGTTAATTATTTTCTTTTTGTTTCTGGAATTTTTTTTTTTTACTTTTCTCCGGACATTTTTTCACTTGTTGTGATTTAGCAGTTTTTGTTTGTTTTTTGTTTTTTTTGTTTTTTTGTTTTGTTTTTTTGGGGTTTTTTTTCGTTTTTTGTTTTGTTTTTTTTTTAACCCTAGCTCAATTGTATTCTTTTGAGGATGTCGTTAAGAACAATTGCTCTTTTCTTCTTTCTGCTCATCACTGGATGAGTTCGAGTTGGTATTTTGTGTAAAGAGCAAAGATTTTCAGGAGAAAACTCTTCAGCTAATGAATGCTATTTAGTGGGAGGCACAGTGCTTTGACAAAAAGACTTTAACTCCTTAACCTTAATTCTGATCCGCAAAGCCGTTTTGTCGAGGGAAATGATATCAAGTTGAATGAGACGATATTGGGTTTCACTTGATATTCATTGAAATAATATTGAAACTGTTAATATAATAAATATATAATAATAATATATAATAATATATCTAATAATATATAATATATCTAATAATATATAATATAAAATATATATATAATATATATATAATATATATAAATATATATATATAAATATATGATATAAAATGTATATAATATGTATAATAATATATAATAATATATATATTATAATAATATATAATAAGTATATAATATAATAAATAATATTGAAACTAATTATTTGAAAATTAAAATTTTACTTGGATTAGAAAAACAAGTTTTTTCTAGACATCAAATTTAAATCACGATGCGCGAATTAATAAAAGATTTTAACCAATATCAATAACATATAAGACTTTTGTATAAATGGTAGGATCAAACACGGCCAGTTTTAAAATCAGATATTTTTATACTAATGTTCACCTGATACAATATTCACGAGCCACTGACGGTAGAAGGTTACTATATGAAGCGAGAGAAGTGAACAGGATGATGATATGTAAGATATATAACTATTGACACTAAACTTTAATGTTAAGACTGTAGCAAAAGATCTACGCGATAATCTATTCCATAATTTGGCACTTCTTAGGAAGAAGTAGATTAGGACTTCGAATGGAATCTCGCAAGATAAAAAAAATATGTTATTTCACTCTTTATTTTTGCTTCTCCCAAATATAGGCTGCGCATTGCAATATGAGCTGGGAATATGTTTGTTAAATTGCAAAAATTCACTGACCAGTGAAAAAATTTTATCTTTACATCTAAATGTTTCATTTTTAGAGCACATGTAACACAACCTTAAAATAAGAATGGCGTAAGGATAAAAATCCATTTGAAATGGTGTGGATATCTACGAGTTGGTATTTATACAATCAAAACTTTTTTTAAAGAATACTATACAGAACTACAATAAATTCACCACAGTTTGAAATTTTATTAAATATTTAGTTCATGAAAGAAAAAAAATAAAATGACGTTTGTGGGAGACGTATGCCTTTTGCAAGCAACAGCGTCCTAGTTCATAAAGTGGTCTAAGAAAGGTTTTTAGCAAGAAGAAATAAACTACATCCAATTTAAAAATTTAATTACGTAATCCCTACGCAACATAAATAGATAGTATTTGGAACTAGTATAGAGTATATCCTCCATTTACTAGTTTCAGTGCCTGTATTCGCTTTTTCATGGATTTGATCAAGTTAACAATCGTCTGATCCATATTTTACCACTCCTTTAGCAATATTTCTTTAAGGCTTGACACTAACGTGATTTTGTTTGCACGCTCTCGAAGTTTTCGGTAAAGGTGCTCCCAAACGTGCTCTATTGGATCCATGTCAGGACTTTGGGCTACCCATCGTAGTAACTTGATTCCTTGTGATTCCTTCCAGGCCTTTGCTACTCTGCTCGTATGACATGGCGTTCCATTTTTCTTGAAAAAGGTAGACATTATTGTTAATCTGATTTAAAGTAGTGGGAATAGTCCTTTCTCTAATATTTGACAGTATTTTCGACCATTCAACTGCTCGTCAATAAGAACCAGCTCAGATTTCCCTCCAGACAAGACAGCGCCTCACGCCTTTACTCCAATCCCTCCATGTTTCATGGTTGCCTGCAGACATTCAGTGTTCCAGGTCTCATTCTGATTTCTTCAAACATAAACCTGTCTCGAATTCGAATACTGGCAGAATTTACTTTCATCTTACCAAATTACAGACTGCCAAAACTTATAATCCTTGCTCTCGAATTCTTTCGCCCAGTCCATACGAAGGTTACTGTTAATCTCTGAAATCAAAGGCTTCTTTCTTACAACTCTACTTTGATAGACTAGCTCTTTCAGAGTTTTTTCTCACTGCATATAGCGACATTTCCATGCTGTTGACGACATCTTTGACGCTCTGACGACGGTTTCTAATAACTTCCTTTTTCGGCGCCCATTTTCGTTTGCTCAGACACGATGCTTGGTCTTCCTGAACGTTGTTCCACACGACAATGGCCTTCTTCATT